CATTCAAATATACAATTAAACACTTTTTTCTTTCATATAAACGCAAAAGCATTAAAGTTTTAATTTGTCAAAATGTTTACTGTCATGACATTACATTAATTGTGGAAGATTCAGTGTTCCATGTTCTTGTCTTTTTGTAGACTTTTGGAACAGCCTTCAGTTGTGAAATTGCATGAGCTCCTAGCATAATAGTCTGTGGAGTATTTTGGACACTAAAATAAATATTTCTTGAGTGAATAAATAAATTCTAGAAGTACTTGCCCACCTTTGACATTTTTATTCATTCTCAGGTTAATTCTCCTGTATTTTTCATCCAGTACTTACTATTCAATTGATATTATAATATGTATTCAACTGATACCCTCAATGTGCAAGGTGCTGTAGAATATGTAATAATGATTTAGAAATAGTTCTTGATCTCAAGACATTTACAGTTTATTAATACAGGAAAAATTACATAAAAATAAAGAACTAGACTGTAATAAGGAACATAAAAGTCATACTCATAATTTGAGGACTCAGGGAAATGAAATGAGAATTTTCTTGGCAGGAAAAATCAGGATATCTTTATAAAATGGGGGCTTTTAAGATAAACCTTGAAAAGTTGCTAGGATTCAATATGAGAAATGAAAAAGAAGCCACTCAAAATGAGTAGGCTCGTATGTAGGGAGATGAAGGGACTAGAGAATGTATTAGTTGGTAAGTACTGGTTTAGCTCAATTAGAGTAAATAAAGGGGAAACATGGATATAAAGCCAGAAAGAATTTGAAACAGATGTGTTTGGCCATCGGCCATAGGACACAAAGAATATGGGTGTTTTTTCACAGGGGAACACAAAAGGTTAATCGATAGGAGATTGCTGTGATCAGACACGTTCATTGGGAAGCCTGTTGGAAAGGAAATGAAAGGTGATTGAATGCTGGCAAGATAAATAAGTAGTATTACTCAGAGAGATATGAGTCTCTGTTCTTAGAAGGATGTAGGTACTATTTCCAGATATATGGAATTAGAAGGAGAGGATAGTTTTGGAAGTATTAATAAGGTAACATTAATTTTAGATATGGTAAATTTAGAGTGAATTTCAGGTATAAACGTCTAACAGGTAGTCAAAAGTATGAAACTAAGAACTTGGGAAGAAAGGGTTAAAATAAAGATTTGACAAAAATGATTAAAGAACATTATATTCTGTGATCATTTTCTCAGGTTTAACACATTTAGTTCTAGAAAAGTTGCTATTTTGGAATCATTTTTAATTTTTACTAAAAGGCTCTTGATTTACAAATAAAAATGCAGCTTGTAACTGTTTTATGATGTATAAATTCATATTTATTCAAAAGCAATGTGTGGAGACATCAAGTAACGTTGTTTTTACATTTAGTTCCCAAACATGACAAGTTACAAATATCTTTTTATATTTTGTTATAAAATTATTAGCCATTTGTGCATATTAAAAACTCAGTGCCATATTGAAGAAATAATTGGAAGTTAAAGGTTATATTTTCTCAAGGACATTAAAGTACATATTTCCCCAGATCTGTTTTTACAGTCGAATTGTCAATTTTTATTTTTCTTAGACTTAGGTGAATATATATTCTATTATTTACATTAAGGTCGACATGATCCAAACTTTATTTTTTATTTGGAGAAAACTAAAGAGATTCAGCAATATCTTAATGTTTACAGTTAAATTAAAATTTCAAAATACTTAAAAATTATTATCATAGCAAAGACTTGGATCAATTTTAAAACATAGGTATATATGAAATACTTAGATTTCTCTGTCATCATTTATACTTCCCAAGTTAGTATTCCTAAACTTATATATTGTCCTCAATGAGAAAAAAACACAAATATCTGTCTTTTTATTTTAATATTAATATATGCCAAACAACACATATTATTCTGTAACTTTTTTAACTGAAAAATATCCATGAGCATATCTTTTTATTCATGTTTTAGCAGAAATAACAAAGCTATAGATATCAGTGCTTGTACTATTTCATCCCTTTGAGATGTTTTCTGAAACAAAAAGACAGTGAGAAAACAATGATCACTACAATGTGTTCTAGCAATATTAGTGATTCTGGATTTTTTTAATGCAAAGATGCTAAAATGTGATTCTAAGATCTTCAGTTTTCAAACCACAAATACTGAAGTCATTCTTTATTTTATTCTGTGAAGCTTCTTTGCAAATATGAGGTTACATATTTAAATAAAGACTGTTAAAGTTCTTAGTTTGGAGAAGTATCAGTGACTTATAAAGACATCATTTCCAAGAGATTGAGTCAAATAATATTTTGTTTTAACCATTCAACATCAGACCAGCATTTGAAGCTATATTGATACCTTGAACTGGTACTTAGAAGAGGGAAGTTTACAGTCTCCTATGAGACCCAAAGAGATGTTAAACATTGTGTGCAATTACCTTTCACAATATCTGCTTCAAAAGAATTGAACAGAGATATTAATATTTGGGAAAATATGTGTTTTATTTTAGAATGCATTGTGAGATTAACTCAAGCCACATGTACCCTCAGGCACACAAGAACAAACATTCTTTGCTTTCCATTTTGATTCTTCTTGACTTTAGGTCGTCTTTTTATAACCTGAGATCTAGTTCACAGTGAAGGACATGCAGTGTCACGTGGACAGTGTCATTTGGTAGCTCAGATCTTTGTTGGGTATTTTGCGTTTTGAGAGCTACAAGTTTTATTATACAGAGACCCTGGCCAGCCTTTAGTAATATATAGTAAAATTGTGGGTGGCTTTTGTAGATAATGTCCTTTAATTTGGAGATTTACTGATGACAAACTGGTTGCTTTCAGTTATTAAAAATCCCAGTGTAGCCTGGGTGTGGTGGCTCATGCCTGTAATCCCAGCATTTTGGGAGGCAAGGTGGATGGATCACATGAGGCCAAGAGTTTGAGACCAGCCTCGGCAACATAGTGAAACCCTAATTCTACTAAAAACACAAGAAAAATAGCTTGGTGGCAGACGCCTGCAATACCAGCTACTTGGGAGGCTGAAGCAGGAGAATCTCTTGAACCTGGAAGGCAGAGGTTGCAGTGAGCTGAGATTGCGCCACTGCACTCCAGCCTGGGTGACAGAGCAAGACTCCATCTCAACAACAGTAACAAAGAAAGTTACAATGTAAATAAAACAATTAATTATATAATCACAATTATAAAGAAAAATATAATTTTAATAGTATAAATGTTTAAACAATGTCATTTAAAATATTTCAATTTACTTCAATATTTTATGCTACTATTGGCAATAATAATCCTATCAGAAACAGATTAGAAAGTAGTAGTTTGCACATTGCATAGTACATTAACTCCAGTCCTTTAACATAGATTATGTGCTTTTAGTTTGTTTATAATTTATTATGAATGACTAATAACTACCTTATTATACATATTATATATAACATTATATATAGTATAATACCTATCTATATAAATACATATTTAGTGTTTTTACTGATTTTTGAGCTACTTTTCCTTTTTGCCTAATGAGTTGTTAATATATCTTCATGGTACCTTCATCTTCAGTTATTTCTCTCTTTATAGCATCCCCATATGACCTCCATTAACTAGTCAACACAGTGAACTCTGAAGTCTTGGTCTTGCTTTATGTAACCCAATCACTGGTCAGAGGGTCCTTCCACTGCCCTTTTCTTTCATCTTTGCCTTGACTTCAGCCCCTATTTCCTCTTAATTCCTATTGTGGCATACGGATTCTACTAATGATTAACACATGCCTTTTTTCCTCTTATTCCATTTGATTTCTTATGCAACTCACTCGTTTTATGTATCTTTGCTTTAATAGAGACAGTGGCCTGCTATAATTAAGAATTAACAAGCCTGGATACAAATTTTGTCTTGTCTTTTTATTGGGCAAGTCAATATTTTAAGCCTCAATTACTCCATTTTCTTATCTATAAAAGACAAGTCTCTAAAGTTATTGTAAATTTTAAAAATAAATCACTTAATACTTCCCATGGCACGTGGGTACTTGATGAAAGCTGGGTAATCACAGGCAGATGGTCCCTTACCCATAGCCATTAGTTTAGATGCATTTTTAGAATTCAGAATTTATGTACTTTAAAAGGTATACATATTTATATAGTACTTAATATCTCCAACAGGATGTTAGTCAGCATGCTTAAACAAGTTGATAATTCTGTAGGACAATACTTATGTATGAATTTGTACACAGAAATATTAGCCTCCCATTAATTCAAGTCAGATATTGTTACCAAATGAGCTATAAAAAAATTATTTGGATTTTGGAATTGAGGATAAGGGAGTAGGAATCCAGAAAACAAGAGGAGGTTTTACATTTTTCTTACTGTAAACTAGATTTTATTCTTTCATTTTGACTACCTGGATGTCTTCTAGGTTTCCTAAATAGGGGACCACAGAACTTTTTTTAGCCTACACTTGCACAGCTCATCCCCTTCCCCAGGTACCCTCACCACTCCAGATTTCTTCTGAGAACCAAGGGTGGGAATGATATAGTTATTTCAGTAGGAGCATAATTGTTGGGCATGGAAAATTAATATCACATTAAGAATTTTTTCTCCCTGGAATTTGTTAGGATAGGTATATAATATCTAGGGAGAAAAGGACACAAAAATTCATTAGCTTTTATTTCTTCCTTTGTGATTAAAACCTGGCTTTTCTTATATGTATTTTAACTCAGAAGATGTTTTAGCAGGATTTGTAGTTAAATGAAATACACTAGCAATTTTAACCTGTGTAATGTATTGTTTCATATAAGTATTTATAGGTTCTAGAGAAATGTAAATAGTCTTATTGACCTGTTGACATTGCTTTTTTTTCCCACTGATAAGGATCTACATAGATTTTAGTCTGTTCCTTTCTATTATGTATTGACTTGGAAGGCTTGCTATCAGGATAAAAGTTATAATTGAATTATAGTCTCGCATTATGTAATTATTAATCACAATTGATCCTAGTATTTATTTTTTTTAGTGTCCTACTGAAACCAAAGCAACATTTGGGGTTCATCTTAAAATAGTAGGAGACTGGACAGGTATGTAGAACATACAATTTTAAGATACATTCTTTGAAAATAATGGAACGTAACAATTTGAATGTGTTTTATTGTAACTACCAGCATGTATAGAAATGTGTGTATGCTTTAAGCTGTTCTGTTTTTTTGGTTTTTTTTTTTTTTACTTGTACAGTTTTGACATCTGTATTTTCTCTTTTAAGATGCATTTTTGCAATCAGAATATCTTGGATATCAGTAATTATTAGTAATATATTGTTCAATATGCTTGCCAATAATAGGTTTCTACCTCCTTATCAGGTTTACTGGCAATAGTGGGAATGCTGAAATGTGTTTCTTAGAAAACGTGGGTTTAAAATATGTGCTTGGTTTGACTCTCAAAATAACACCTGGTATTGAGATCACACGAATCTTCCAGTTCTTTCATGACATTTTTTTGTTGTATTTCTGTATATATAGCAACTTCACAGTATCTTTGGAATAGATACTTTTAACAGCAGGCTTGTTGGTGATACTTTACTTGTCTTTAGTAAATACTTTTTATTATCTGAGATATGCATTGCACTAAGGGCTCTGAGTAAATAAAAGAAACATTATTCATTCTTGTATTAATATTTCTGTGACCCACCAGAATAACTGACGAGTACTCAGTAACTGTTGGCTTGTTGGTTGGTTATGTTGTTGCTGCAGGAAAGAATGCAGATATAAACATAAATGCAAATGTAAATTTAAATATTCTTATAATTAGGTGCTAAACAAGGAGTTGGCATGTAAAATCCGTAGGGAACGAGAAAAATGTAGCTTAAATGTGATCTAGGCCTGTAAGAGAAACTTCATAGAAAAGACAATTTGAGCTGAAGCTTAGAAATCAGGCAAATGAAGAAAGATGTAGGTAATTTAAGTGAAATTCACAGTATTGTCAAAAATCAGGAAAGGCAATGTTTAAACTCTCTTTGGAAGGGATGAATCCAATCAGCCTTTAGTAAATTAAACAAAAGCAAAGTCAATCAAACAAAATGAAACAAAAACAATCAAACTAAAGCAAAGATTTTGTTCTGGAGAGTAGTATAGAAGAGCCATTTAGGGTCAACCTGGTGAAGAGCATGAATGCCTTAGCAAAATACTGGAGTAACTGAGAGACTTTAGAGAACTTTTGAGGCATTTGAAGCACCATGATGAAAATAGTATTATAAGTTGCTAGTTAGATAGATGAAAATCAAGGGAAAACTTGAAGGTACTTAAAGGCAGAGGGAAAAAGAGGCAGTAGAGAGGCGGGATGGAAACTGGAAGTAATGCATTTGTGAACACAAGTTAAGAAGGTAGCATTAGAAGGAAGAATCTAATATCAGTAAAAACCGGAGAGGGATAATATGTTGACTAATAAGAAAGACGTGTTTGAAATGAGGATTACAGTAGTTGACATAAAGAGCTTATTTCATATAGCTAAAAAATAATAGTGGTAGGTATAAAATTTAATGTCTTTAGAAAAGATAGTCAGTTTGGAATTAGGGACTTGAAAAAAAGGAAGGAAATCTACAACATAGGATTTTATGGGCAAACATCTAAATGAATTAAAAAGATCTTTGAGCAGTAATGACTCATTCAGAGTCATGAAAAACCAGGCTTACATGGATAATTTTCAGGTGGTAGCATCGAAAAGAGATCATGGTCATCCTCTGATAGATATACACTGGTGGAATATGAACAAATGAATAATCAGTATGCCCAAAATCAGTTGAAATAATCACAGTTTTTTGTTTGTTTGTTTTTGCACTGTTTTGGAAATAAAGAATAAGGAAAGCTCTTTTCTGGTGAGAATCCCAATATAGTAGGCATTGAGTTCAGTCATGAATGATAAATTGGTAGAATTCTATATTTGAAAGAAAATGCACAATGAAAACAAAATTTAATTCATAAGACTAAGCAGAAACTCCTGATGGTTTATTATTAGCTATTGTTACCAAGTTTCTTCACAAAGTGATTTTCTATTACCAGTAGCTCATTAAAATAAAGGATGTCTCACTATTTTAATCATCTCTATTAGGAACACTTAATAGTGTTAATTTTATCCTCCTTTTTTAATGTACTATGCCATTAAGAAAAACGAGATCATTCTATTTAGAGAGTTCAGTTCCAGTCAGATGCTTTTCAATTAATAGACCTTCTTTGTTGTTGATTTGAAATATTTGTTGACTTGGAAAAAAATAAGCATTCATGCAGAGAACCCCTAAATAATCGTGTCACTGTGTGACACTTTAGTTGAAAGAGATTTAGCTGCCTTACAACAATGAAATTACAATTTTTGAAGGAAAAATAGGAGCATTATCTTTGAGATCAAGAATCATTGGTTTCTATTCTAAAAGAATTTATTAAAACTCAGTATTAAGAGCAGTAGGTATAGGAAATATCAAAGATATACTTAAGAGGTTGAATATCAAAGTTTGTTTTTTTTAAACTGACTTAGAGATATTTAATAGTGACTTGTTTTTTGTTTCTGTTTTTGTTTTTGTTTTTTGAGACAGAGTCTCATTCTGTTGCCCAGGCTGGAGTGCGGTGGTATGATCTTGGTTCACTGCAACCTCCACCTCCCGGGTTCAAGCAATTCTCCTGCCTCAGCCTCCCGAGCAGCTGGGATTATAGGCACATGCCACTGTGCCGGCTAATTTTTGTACTGTTAGTAGAGACAGGGTTTCACCATGTTGGTCAGGCTTGTCTTGAACTCCTGACCTCGTGATCCACCCGCCTTGGCCTCCCAAAGTGTTGGGATTACACGCATAAGCCACTGCACCCAGCCAATAGTGACTTTTTATTTGTTGAAATATGTTTTGCATTGGCAGGGTACAGAGACTGAAGATCAGGTTTAAAGTAGGTCCATAAATGATCTCTCTAAGACTAATTAACTGTACCTAGCTATCGAGTGCTAGAAAAGTAAGCGAAACAGCTATGCAGCACAAAACAAAGAAGCATCAAACTCTCGTATTTGTTGTCTAGATTTTCATTTTTACCAGACCTCTGGCTGCATCTCCTAAATATGTGGAAGACCTGTTAAGTTTAGAAGATTCTTGAAACACTTTAGATACAATTCAGGTTTCTTGAAATGATGCAAGTAGACCGGGCACGGTTGCTCACGCCTGTAATCCCAGCACTTTGGGAGGCTGAGGTGTGAGGATCACGAGGTCAAGAGATTGAGACCATCCTGGCCAACATGGTGAAACCCCATCTCTACTAAAAAAAAAAGCACAAAAGATTAGCCGGGCGTGGTGGTGCATGCCTGTTGTCCCTGCTACTCGGGAGGTTGAGGCAGGAGAATTGCTTGAAACCGGAAAACGGAGGTTGCAGTGAGCCGGGATCACGCCACTGCACTCCAGCCTGGCGACAGAGCGAGACTCTGTCTCAAAGAAAAAAAATAGAAAAAGAAAAGAAATGATGGTAGTAGAGTGGATGGATTGGATTACCCAAGTAGGTGTCTCTTCTAATTGAATTAATATCTTGTTGCTCTTCTAGAATAGTCATTATTTCCAGTTTCAAACATATGGTCACAGACTATTGACTAATCATTTTAAGCGTACAAAAATGTTTTGTTAATTTCTTCATTACATATGATTAGTATTGATTAATGTCTGAGATAATGCTATACCCTTGCTTATTTTGGTGGTCTGAATAGCCACTTATTACAGTTTGAGTTGTACTACAACAGAATTAAAGTCATAACATTCACATGTAATTAATGTAAAATTTCTGCCATTGATTCCTTCAGTAGTTAATGAATTTGTAATAATTGTGAATAAATATTCAATAAAGGACTTGTAGCATGTATCACATGACAACATTTCTTTGAATCTTGGATATAAATACCCATATCGTCTACTGGAAAAGCTTTCTATAATCCAAAGATATGGTTATCTTTTAGGATTAAAAATGAGAAGACAGGGGCATATATTATTGTGGATTTGCCTTAGTCACATGATATATTGACTACTCACAGTACAAGTAATGTTAAATATAGGTTTAATTAAGGACTGGGGCACATAAGAGTTGATAACTCTCTATTTGTTTCTATATCACTGTAGAACCCAGTCATGTGTCAGGCTTTATCTAGATTTTTTCATGAAAAGATTAAAACAAAACATGTTATGTGTTTCAAGTAATTTTTTTTTTCATTTTTGGAAACTCCTTATAAGTCAGATTATGACCACACTAAATTATATTAATGTTATTACTTTATAATGGCAATGTATTTTAGGCCAATTATGTCAACCACCTTACATTAGATATAACTGAATGTCTTTTGGTTGCTGCAAAAAGCCAATAAATAAATAAATAAATAAATAAATCGTATTTGGATGTATGTAATCTCACAGAGTTTACACAGTTCATGTTCATATAATGTAAACTTTAAGCTTATAATAAATATTTATTATCAACTACTGCATAACCAAAGGAGTGCCTGGAAGTACTCTTTTTGTTGTTACTTTGGCCATGACTAGTGAATTACAATGATTAGTTATTTGTGTAAAATAATATTTAAACTATTAGCTTTGGCTAATAATCCAATGTGTGTTAAACACCTACTGTGTTCCAGACTATGTATTAGTCACTGGAGATACAGCATTGAACAAAAATGACAATGCCTCTGCTCTTAGAGAGATTGTATTTTGGTCCATGGGAAATTTGTCATTTTTTTGGAGATGTTTTGGTGTGACTCTATCTCCTTCCATTTGACTGTGGGTTAGAGATTGTAGCAGCCTCACCTACACCCCATGTCCTACCAGCCCCTGTGGATGGTAGTAGTTTTCTGCTACTCTCTGGATTTTTTTCACCATCCTCAATTTGGCTTCTCACTTCTTCCCTCACCTAAGTCATTAGTTTCCTGTAATGAACTTCTTCCACTTTAATTATACAGTCGTGTTTCTGGCAGATCTGCACTGTAACACAGGTTAGCAAAGCTTTCTGAACAGAGCCCTGAATAAAGAGGAGAAATAAATAGGGGAATTGCATTTCATGAAGTGCAAAAACCCAGA